GGCCGCCCCAGGAGGCCGGGCTAAGGGCCGGAAGGCTGGGACCGTAAGCAGGCGGGGCGGGGCGGGCCCCTTCCCTCAAGTTTCGTACCTGTCGCGTCAGGGCTGAGGGGCGGGGTCACTCGGAGTCTGGTTCATTTTCCCAGCGCTTCCCGAAGCCCTGGCCCGACTCATCCGCGTTGGGATTGCAGTTGCGGCGACTGCGCCGAGCGGAGTCGCGTGTCGCGGCTCGTTGACACTGGGCTCTGAGAGGCCAAGTGGCGGGGAGTCCGTGTCATTTGTGGAGGGCTCCAGGTTAGCGGCGGCCGCGCTGGGGGGCGTGGCCAAAGGGCCGGCTCATTTGCATTGGGCTTGGGCGTTCCTGCGGCACCCGAATCCCGGGCAGCAGGCGCCTTTGCCTAGGGACCAACGCTGGAGGGCGGGGCATTCCCGTCATTTGCATACGGCTTTCTATTAGTGGGTGCATATGGGGGCGGGGTCTCGTTCTACGTCACCAAGGGGCGGAGTCCTGTGAGGAAGTCATTAGCATATGGCTCCACGCTAGCCCACCGTGTGCAGGGATTCGTTGCACCTGCTCATTAGCATAGTGTTTTCCATTGGTTACGGTAGCGCTGGGGGCGGAGTTCATGGGGATATCTATTAGCCTCGAGTGTCACCGGAGCACCTACGACAGAGTCCGTGCGCCTGAGTCTGGGCTACGGATGAGGGGTGGAGCCTCGTGGTGCCTGTGTAATTTGCATATAGCTTCCCAGAAGGCTCAGCGGGTGAAATCGCCGTTCAGAGGGTTATATTAATCAACAAGTGAGGACTTTTTCAGCATAAACACTCACAGTGAGCACTGTTCCAAAGGTTGTTTTTTATTTTGGCGTCCAAATATATTAAAGACAAACAATAAAACTCCTCTATGTGTAAAATGTTTACCTTGTTTCCCTTTAAATACCTGAGTCGGGAACCAGGTATTTGTGCTCGCTTCGGCAGCACATATACTAAAATTGGAACGATACAGAGAAGATTAGCATGGCCCCTGCGCAAGGATGACACGCAAATTCGTGAAGCGTTCCATATTTTTGTTCCTGTCACCCACCGTGTACCCCACACGCGAAGAGCGTTGTCTGCGAAGAGCGTAATCTGCATTGGGGATGCAGAGGGACCTCCCCGAGGCACTGTACGACTGCTGCTGGTTTCCAGCGTGAGGGAGCACCCAGGGAGTCTGAGGGAGCAAGCAAAATTGGGGCTCCGCAACGGTCGGCGAGCCCGGAAAAGGGAGGGCGCAGCAGAGGCTGAGGGAACAGAGCACCTTGCATACAGTAGGCACTTGACAAATGCAGTCTTGACGTTATTGTGGAACATACACGTCACTTGCTAGAAGAAACAGAGTGTCCCTAGGTGACCAGAGCCGCAAAACCTAGCCTGTTCTTCGTGGAGAAAGAGTGGCGGTTGGGGGGGGGGTCCCTTCCAGCACAGGCCAACTTGTCAGCCAGTGGCATCACTCACGACTGGGGGGTGGGATTTTATTTTCTTCTATTTACTTTTTGAGTAAGGGATCTTGCCATGTAGCCCTGGCTGTCCTGGAACTCGCCCTGTAGATCAGGCTGGCCTCAAACTTACAGACATCCTCCTGCCTCAGCATGTTGAGCGCTGGGCTCAAAGGCGAGGGCACCACCTCCTCCTCCTTGTCGAGATGGCAGCAGAAGCAGCGCAGAGACTGCGAAGGAGATCGTGGCCATCCTGGGACCCACCCAGCTTCCGGAAGGCAGCTAGAGCCAAAATTCTTAAGATTTTTGAGTCTATGCCAGACACCCGAGAGCACTTTGCAAACATGAACATGGACCTGTCTATTTTTCAGGCAAGGAGCCTGAAGTGCAGAGAGGACTGATAAATACCCAGCATCACAGTGAGCCAGGAAGGAGGATTTGAACCCAGGCTCCGAGGCTGAGGCTGGGAAACCTCAGGCCTTTGTTTGGAGGGGAGGGAGAGAGACAGGGTCTCCTGTAGACCAGGCTGGCCTGGAACTCAGAGATCTGCCTGCCTTTGCCTCCCTAGTGCTGGGGCTAAAGACATGGAATTTTAAAATTCCATTAAATTGAGAGTCCAAGTCAGAGTTTTAATACATTAAGCTGCCAGAAGCCCAGAACACTGGGTTCTGGGTGTCTGAGTTTTTGTTTCTGGGATGTCAGTCACTGGGCAGCAGGGATGGGGGTTGAACGTGGCATGGAATGGTGTTCCTTGTTTGTTGGTTGGTTTTTGTTTTTTTATCCAACTGCTTCAATATCCCGAAAACTAGTTTGAATTCAGGGGTGTGGCAGAGGCTTCACAACACCCTGAGCACTTCAGTTCAAGTCCAGTTCCCTGTTAAGAAATGGGTGAAGAAGCCAGGCATTGGTGGCTCAGGCCTTTAATCCCAGTACTCGGGAGGCAGAGACAGGAGGATCTCTGTGAGTTTGAGACCAGCCTGGTCTACAAGAGCTAGTTCCAGGACAGCCTCCAAAGCCACAGAGGAACCCTGCCTCGAAAAACCAAAAAAGAAAAAAGAAATGGGTTGATTTACTCACTTTACAAAATTTACTCAATTTACAAAAGATTGATTTACTCACTTTTTTTTCAAGATAAGGTTTCTCTGTGTAGCCCTGACTGTCCAGAAACTTGCTCTATAGACCAGGGTGGCCTCAAACCTGCCTCTGCCTCCTCAGTGATAGGATTAAAGGCATGCACCACCACTGCCCAGCAATTTACTCATTTTTTTTCAATTAAATAATTTGTGGACTGTGGTAGTTAGTAATCCTGGCACTTGGAAGGCAGAGGCACGCAGTTCTCTGTGAGTTCAAGGCCAGCCTGGTCTGCAGAGTGTTCCAGGACAGGCTCCAAAGCTACAGAGAAATCTTTTCTAAAAACAAACAAAAAACAGAAGGGGTTCCAGGTCCCCTGGAGCTGGAGTCACAGGCAGTTGTGAGCAGGCATCTACTCTTAAGTATGAGGGGTGTGCCCTGGAGATGGAGAAAGAAAGAAGGAAGGAAGGAAGGAAGGAAGGAAGGAAGGAAGGAAGGAAGGGGGAGGCAGAGAGGGCAGGCTGGAGAGACTGGAGAGATGTTTGCTCAGTGGTCAGGGCTGCTTGCACAGAGGACCTGGATTTGTGTGGTAGCTGCAGTCACCCTGATCCCCCGCTGAGCCTGGCCATGTACCCATTCAGCATGGCTGCCCTAGGGCTTCATGCCTGGTCACAGGGACCTGTGCTGTCTCCAGCTCAGAGCTGTCTTATCCAGTGCTCCACTGTTCAAACTCAGGCCCCCAGAGGAGGGATTTGTCCCAAACCAATCCAGCTCCTACTCATGTTTTAACACCCCATGGCCCATGTCCTATCTGTCATGCAGTGAGTGTTCTTTAAGATCTTCAGAAGTCTGTCTACCTGTCTGTCTGTATTCTGTGGGTCCGGCCGGGCAGGGGTCCCTCAGGAATGAATGTCACGCAGAGAGAGGCTGACTTGTTTGTGTTTGTTTTGAGGTGGGGTCTCATGTAGCCCAGGTTGGCCTGGAACTCTTTATGTAGCCAAAGATGACCTTGAACTCTTGATGCTGGAGCCCCAGCCTCCTAGCTGTGGGGTGACAGGCAAGCAGCACCACACCTGATTCATTTATTCATTCATTGATCCATTTGTAGATGTGAGGTGAGCCCAAGCACTTACTGAAAACCAGCCCTGTTCACAGGGCATCTCATGATCTTACCATTACCATTACACCCTCACAAGAGAGCCAGCAACCCCCAGCCTCAACTCACAGGCCCTTCTGGCAGCCTCTCCACAATGGACGCCTCGTTTTTTTTAGTTTTTCCCCATCCTCCACATTTTTGTGCCCTTTATTTTACCAGGAAGCCCTTTCATTGTGGACTGAGAAACTCCTACTCATCTGTCAATACCCTAGCTCCCATGGCCTCCTCCTGTGAATTAGCCTACCCCGATTCCTGTCTACACCCCCAGCGACGAGAGGTTAAGGGGAGGAAACAGACTGGTGAGTGCCTGTAGTGGCAGAGAGGGGCTCTCATTACAGATTTTAGGATTTGGGGTTCCATCCAGCAGTTCCCTGTCTCTCCCCAGGTACAGGGTGGGGAGGTAAACTGACACCCGGACTAGGTAGGAAGCCCATGCCCCTCGTTGCCTCAGTTTCCCGTAA